CTATGACAGAGAGTAATTGTGGTCATGTGTTAAGTACCTCCTCATAAGAAAATAACATAAGAGCTATGAATTTTCATAAGATATGTCCTATTTTTATAGACTCTGATTCAATGGTACCCCATGGGGGTGAAGGAGGTACCAATAAACTATAAATGCCTTTAGCAAGTGTTTTGGAAATAAGTTAGATAAAGCTGCTCTCCCCTTGTACTATAAACTATGGTTTCATGCCTACTACATATAAAGTTTACTATATGTTGAATAAGAAATAGAAAAAAATTGAAAAGATGTTAGTTACATAATTAAAGAAAAAGAGACCATGGATTTGAGAGGTGGTGATGGAGAGATATACATGGAAGGAGTTGGCGGGAAGAAAGTAACGTGGGGGATGTTGTGATTATATTTTAATTTAAAAAAGTGGAAAAAGTCAGTCATAGTGAAATGGGTCCAGATTGTTACATGAGCAAAACTAAATCCATTACATCATTTCATTGTGGAAAAAGAGAGCCAGGGGAAACATCTATATGCATAGATGAAATGCATATATTCAGTACCTGGACAGTTGTTTATTACAAAGTAAGAAGATAATTATGTTTACCAACAATATTTGAAAGATAAGCTTTCAGAGCCATGAAAAGAGTTTATACTGCATATTTGGAAAGATAGTACCTTGGAACATCTTTGCCAGGCTATACTTTTTGCTAGCCCATCAGATAGGATACTAAGATAAGGAAGGACCAATCATGTGTGTAATTCTTTTTAATTGTTGCATCATCTTTCTGTTCTCTGAGGTTAAAGGTTTTCTTTGTCAGTACACTTATTACAGTAGTTATAAGTGTTAATCCAACAGTGAGAATAAGACTATTATCACAGTTTGAGCCAAATTTGAAACAAGCTTGATTTTTTTTTTTTGTTTGTTTTTTTAATTGGGTGTCCCCAAGAGCTGGCCAGCGACTGCCTCCAAACTCAGGTTAAAGAGAGCAGCCCCAAATCCATTTCTTGGGCCCCTTTTAAAGAGTAAAATCATGAGTAGTTTTACAGAAGAGAGTCAATGGGGCAATACAAGGAAATACAGGAAAAAAATTCAGAAAAATCATGTGGTCAACATGTGATTAGGGAGGGAGGGTTTGGGCATGGACAGGAAAGGTCAGAATATTCTCAAAAACAAGTCAAGGTCATTGGTTGGGGAAGGTCAGGTTCCAGGAAACAGAGCAATTTAGTAAATAGAAACTTATTTTTAACAACACAGCATAATGGCTCCTGTCTTCAAAATGGAATCAGGCCAGTTCTTTATTCCCTCCTGACTTACATTTCATTGTCAGATCATTGATGGGGGGTGTCTCAATAATATTGTGGAGCAGCAATGATTCTAGAATTGTTTATCTGGTGGATAAAGGCAATATTTTACATGGCAAGACAATATCAGGGTGTTTCCTTTAATGGGGTGCCTTTTATTTCCCCTGTCAAGATACATTTAAGTTCTGTTTGCAGCAAAACTGTTAGCCATAGGACAATTATGCAAATTTCAACAGCAAGAACACAAAGTTATATTAGACAGTCAAACTTTAGAAAGTTTGATTTTTAACAGTCATTTTTCAGTCACTTTTGATCTCTGGGTGTTGGGCTCCTCTTCCGTGGGTTCCTCAGGTGCCTTCTTGAAGTGTGAGTGATAAAACCAGGCAGAAATACTAGCGACTTTAACAGCAGTAGGAGTCCAGAGAATCACGATGTAAGGTCTTTTCCATCTATGTTCAAGCTAGTCAGTTTTGAAGTGTTGGACTAATACAACATCTCCAGGCTGGATCAGTGATCAGGTTGGCAGTACCCAACAGGTTGAGCAACCTGGACCTGAGGGAGAATCTAAATCCAAAGTTAATTGCAATCCTTTTAAGGACTCAGAGATTGGAGTGGAGCATTCTGATACCAGGCCGGCATGTACCAAGGGATCTTGGGAGGTGGTTGTGAAGAGACTATTTATTTCATGTGGGGTTGAACCTTTTGCATACGGCAAAAGGTCAAACCAATTACCACCAGTTTCAAGAGTATATTTAGTTAACATCTCCTTTAAAGTTCTGTTCATTCTCTTTACTTTTCCTGAGCTGTGAGGATGATACATACAACAAAGTTACCAATTTATGTTAAGAATCTTACAAAGCAATTGTGAAAATTTGGCTGTGAAGATCAGGCCATTCTTCAACCCCAGAGATATGGGAAAGCCAAATCTGGGAATAATTTCCATTATTAGTTTCTTAGCTACAACTTGGACCATTTCTGTTCAGGATGGAAAGGCCTTTACCCAGCCTGTATGATGGTATTGACAAAGACTAGCAGATATTTGTAGCCATACAGACCTGGCTTGACTTCAGTGGAGTCCATTTCTCAAAATTCACCAGGTACTGTAGCTGACTCCGTTGGCCTGGGGGAAGTATGTCCTTCTTTGTATTTACCTGGGCACAGGCTGGGCAGTGGCCTGATGGGGGGAAGTGCTTCTGTGTATGTGTTTGTCTTACTGGATGATAAATAAAGTACTGTTTGGCCAATGAGGCAGCAAGTTAGGTGGGACTAGGAGTCAAGGAGGATTCTGGGAAATGTAGTAAAGAAGTGGTGATCCACGCTGGAAGTGACATAGCAGGGAGACTCATAAACAAGGGCAAGAAGGAAGTGGACCCCTTCTCTCTTCCTCCAGAGTCACCATGTGATCCCGAGATGAGGACACCAATGGAAGGCATCCTAAATAAGATAAGTCTGATAAAAAATATATAGATTTATGATAACTAAGACTGAGCTAACAGATGAGAAATCCTAGTCATTGGCCAAGCAGCATTTGTACCTAATATAAGTCTCTGTGTGTTATTTTGTCCATCTCCGTGGCAGTAGGGTTCGGGTGGCTTTTGGCGGAAAGATTTATCGTAATAGAATGGTGTCAGTGAGTGGGATGACCCCATGCCCCAAGGTTCCCAGAGGAAGTGGGAAACCTGCCGCCACAGCCGGCCCTATTGGGCCGCTGAGAGGCATCTGAGCAGCTTCCATATGCTCACGTCGTCCCGGTGCTCTTGGAGGTTGGACTTGACACTACCGAGATGATAAAGACAGATCCAGAAAAAGAAAAACCTCTAAAGGCTTAAACTGCATTAAAAAAATATATGTAGGCTTGTAAAAGAAAAAGTAACAGGAAAAAATAGAGTAGCTAGGTGTGGTGGCACACACCTTTAATCCCAGCACTTCAAAAGGCAGTTGGATTTCCACCCTGTCTCAGGAAAAAAGAAACAAAATAGAAATAGAATAATAAAGAAGCCACCTAAAGATAAAAAATACACAGAGAGTCTGGATACTATATGCTATATTGTTGTCTTAAAATTGTTTGATTGCTGAGGAAAGAGTTACTGCTGCTAAATACATTTGATTATAAATACTGCTAAATTAATCCAACTTACACATTTTAAAAATGCTTTGACTTCAAAGTTTAAGTCTAAGGACAGGCTACTTTTGAAAAAAGTTTTTGCTTGTGTTTCCACAGAAAATGAAAAGCTGTGGATTCCTTCCAGACTAATATGGTTTGATCAAGCAAGACCCCCTGAAGCAGTGACCCAACTGATCCTACATCCAAAACAGCTGAGATGATGCAGCCTTGCAGACAACAAAAACAAGGACTTGGTCAGATTTCTGTGTTTTATCATGATCCCCATGGTACGGACATCGCCCCCAATCAGCAGGAAGCAGTTTAGAATGAACGACGCCCAAATTCCCAAATATTGTTTATAAATGTTTATTTTCATTTAAATGGGGTTGGTTATAAATGGTAATGGGCATAGTCAATCTCTTTTTAAAGAAAAAAAAGGGGGGAATAGGATGGATATAGGAATGAATACTTTGTATTGGTATGGGTTTTCATTTATTGATACAACTTTAAGGTCAATTTTGTGATATGTATATGTCTTCTCTTGTTTAGGTATTGTATTTATACATACCTTTTAAAATGATATACATAATTAAATACAGGCTATATAGTCACCTATAATAGTCAGAACTTATAATTAGGTTAGTTAGGTTTTCTAGATATACAGAGATATATTTGAGATGGATAGGTATTCTTCAAACCTTTCAAAAACTGACAGAATATATGGCATTTAAATGGTATAGGGTTTTTCTTGGCAGTGAGACACAACTGCTCCTGGCACACCAATTACGTCAGAAAGGAGGATGGGCATCGAAGAAACTCATTATGGAATTTGCTTTCAACATCACATGATTAGCCATTTGGGCAAGAAACTGCTCTTTCCTGGACAGTTTGTTGCTGTATAAACTGGACATGCAGGACCTACAAGAAAGTGACTGCTGAACTTACAAAACAAGATGAACAGTACTGAAGGGTTCCCGTTGAAATGGAGAAGTGTGCTAGAGACACACTGTGGCCTATAGGCTGAAGATGGATGCCCCAACGTTACAGAGGAACCTTGGGTGACTGTCCAGGTAGCAAGATGTCTCTGTCAATTCTAGAGTTTATATATTATCCTTCTGTGGTCTTTGATGGAGTTGAAGAGAGATAGTTATGGTTATGCTTTTCTTCAGTTATTATAAAAGATAAGTTACCCTTCTTTTTATTTAGACAGAAAAGAGGAGATGATGGGGGAGGTACTTCTGTGTATGTTTATCTTATTGATTGTTGAATAAAGCACTGTTTGGCCAATGAGGCAGCAAGTTAGGTGGGACTAGGAGTCAAGGAGGATTCTGGGAAATGTAGTAAAGAAGTGGTGATCCACGCTGGAAGTGACATAGCAGGGAGACTCATAAACAAGAGCAAGAAGGAAATGGGCCCCTTCTCTCTTCCTCCTGGTCTCTGCTCTGGAGACACCATGTGATCCTGGGATGAGGAAGGCATCCTAAATAAGATAAGTCTTATAAAAATATATATAGATTTATGATAATTAAGACTGAACTAACAGATGAGAAATCCTGGTCATTGGCCAAGCAGCATTTGTACCTGATATAAGTCTCTGTGTATTATTTTGTCCATCCATGTTGCGGTAGGGCTCGGGTGGCTTTTGGCAGAAAGATTTATCATAACAGTGGCCTGAAATGCTCTGAAGTTTTTCTCGGTGTCCAGGTAGCCAAAGATGAGGGGAGATGAGTTCTGAGATCTTTTTAGGTGACAAGTGCATGGCTTGATGCAGTGTAGTTAGCCAGTTTGGGCCCAGTGTCTTCAGCATGCAGATTCTTCTGTCAGGCAAATCTACCATCTGTGTTGTTCTCCTGAGTCCCCAAGTCAGAATATAGCTTGATCTTTTCTGTATTGTACTCAGATACATCTTCATAGAGGCAGAGTGGAGGCTCAGGGACAGCAGACAGTTCCAGGGCAGGCTGGGTTTTGGGTTCCCTGAGAGCAGCCTCTTTGGCAACTTGATCTACATGTTTGTTTGTTACCTTGTGTTTGGGGTTTTGTCTTTTTGGTTTCCTGGCCAGTGAATAATGGCCAGTTCATGGTAGCCAGATGGCCTCTAGCAACTGGATAATTTCATATTTATTCTTAATAGTCTTTCCCTCTAAGGTGAGTAAGCTCCTCTGTTTAGATATCTGTCCATGAACATGAGCCATGGCAAATGCATATTGGCTGTCTGTGTAGATATTCACATTTTTTTCCTTCAGCCATCTTAAATCCTGTGTCAGAGCAATTTTTTTTTTTTCTGCACTCTGGGCAGATGTGCCCCTGGGCAAAGCTTGTTCCCAGATGACCTCCTTCTGGCTGGTGACGACCATTACCTCTGCATACCTGGTCCTTCTCGAATGAGGCTGTTACCATCCGTATAGAGATCTGCGTCTCTGGTAGTGAGATGGACACTCTCAGGTCAGGTCAGGTCTTATACCTTGGATGATGTTCAGAATCTCTAGGTAGTCATGGATGGGCTTTTCAGGCCCTCATCTGGCAACAGGGTGGCAGGATTGATGGACAAGGATTTATCAAAAGTCACTTTGTCATTATCTAAAAGATGGGCTTGGTAGTGGATCAGATGGGCATTAGACACCCTATTGGTAGTATCTCTCAGCAGGGCTTCCACAGCATGTGGAGCTGTTACAGTTAGAATCTGTTCTAATGTGAGACTGGGACAACAGTCTTTTCCCTTCTCTTAGCTCATATTCCAAGTAAGTAACCTGGGTTGAGCAAATTTGTTTTTTGTTTGTTTGTTTTAATAACTATAGCCTAAATGGGCTAGAGTTTCCAAAAGGCCTGTGGTGGCTCTCAAACAGTCCTCTTCATCTTTAGCAGCCAATAATAAATCATCTACATATTCAAGCAAGCTTACCTCAGGGAAGAGACTTAAATCCTGGTTGAGTGCTTCATTGAAGATGGAAGTTTTTGAACCTTTGAGGCTGTCTGGTCCAGGTTAGTTGTCTGATATCCCCAGCTCAGGGTCAGCCCATTTAAATTCGAATTTGGGTTGATTTAATTTCTGACAAGGGGGTGGAGAAGAATGCATCTTTTAAGTCCAATACAGTATAAACTTTATGCTCTGGTGGTAATAAACTGAGCAAAGTATAGGGGTTTGGGATAGTTGGGTAAATGGATTCTACCCCATGTGGGCATTCATTTTTTTAGTGACCCATTTCTTTGCAGTAGGTGCTTTGGTCCTTTTGTAAAGGTCTCCCGTTTTTATCATAGTGTTCATGGGCAGAGTTGAAAGTGGCTGGGGCAGCCATGATGGCATGCCCCTTCTTCTTTACCAGAAGATCTTCTTTGCTGTCTCTGCCATCAAACACTTTCTGGGCTATCTGTAATAGTTGTGACCTGATTTTTTCCTGCAAGCCCATCCATCTTTCTACGTATGTCAGGAGCTGACTGAGTAACAAAGACCAGATTAATTGCCTTGAGATTTGCCAGGTGCTCTAGAACTGATAGGCATCCAGGAGGCCCTCCAGGGAAGCTGAAGGTGATTCATCTGGGCCCTGTTCACATCTATTACTTTAGACACTGCCTGTTTCATCCCTTCTAGCAGAACTTGGTGGTATTCCCTGAGTGATCTCTTGCCTTTCTCTGTATTGTAGTCCTATTGGATTCTCCTTGGCAGAGCACAGTCAATCACTTGTGATCTCTGGTTCTCAGCCATTGAAGCTATTCTGGGGAGCACTTCAGTTGCTTTCATGAGAATCCATTTTCTTTCTTTGGCAGTGAAGAGGGTATGGAGAATCTGCTGACAGTCGTTCCATATGGGGAGATGGCTGAAAAAGATGAAATCAATTAGAGGTATTAAGGAATCAAGGCTAGTGCTGAAAGGGGGGGTTCTGGTTCTCCCAGTTGTAGAGATCTGTGGTGGAGAAAGGGACACACAAATAATGTTTGTCAGGAAATAGGGGATTGAGGACTGAAGGAGGTGCCACCCCAGAACCAGAAGTCAGGAGAGCCTTATGGAATTCCCTGGGGGATATGGAGAGGGGAAATGATCGGGAGGTATGGAAGAGCTGGGGTGGGGATGAGATAGGTGGAGGTAGGAAAGAACTAGATGGTGGGGTAGGGGTAGGTGCAGATGGGCAGGCAGAGTGGGGACTGGGGTGACAAAGGTGGAGGTTGAGGTGAAGAGGGTAAAGATGGTTATAAGGAGGCAGGAGGGACTCTTCCTGCTGTGAGTACTCTAGAATGGTTTTTCAGAGGGGCTCATTGGTCTTTGCTACAGTTCTTGAAGGTCCGTCTGCTGACAACCAGGGCTTGACCATCTTGCCTGTTGCAGACCATACAGACCTTCATCTATGGGGGCAGGTTGGGAGTTGCTTCAGCCTAAGGAAAGATGTATCCAATCTGATCTGGGTGTCTGGGCTTAACAAAGGTGAAAGGTGATATTAACCATTGTCCAGGCTATCTGGGAATCAAAAGTACCCTGGGCTGTTTAATTTCACAGCATATTTGGAGGCAACTTGGTGATTATAGGGTAGTAAAGTTTATTAAAATCCTTTAGAACACAGGGCTATTAGGCTTGCTAGTCTTATTACTCACACCATCTGTCAGTTCAGTTGCCCAAAATCCAAAATAAACCAGTTAACACAGAAAGTACAAAGGACAAAAAAGGGACAGTAAAAATGAATCCAAAGGCAAGACAAGACCTACAAAGAGAAGACAAACAGGGCATTAAAAACAGAGTAAGAACCTCAGGTGGGCAGTGTGACATCTTGCTTTTTGCCCTGGACAGGAGAATAGTGGGGTCCCCTTGAGCCCCCTCCATATCACAGATAGGGACCCCACAAAACAAAATCAGACTGTAACTCACCAGGAGGCCTCTGTAGTTATTTGCTGCCTTTCTCAGCATGAAAGTTCACCCCATGGTCTGCAAACTGAAGGCAGCTTTAGAGCCTTAATTATTTATCCTGAGTTGCTCATGTGACCCATCTATTCTTTTCTATTCGTATATATTTATTGAGAAGCTACTATGGGTGCAGGTTTCTGTACTAGTCACAGAGAACTGAGTTTCAATATCAATTCACTGAGTAGAAGAATATAGTATTTAAGTATATAGTATTTAAGTATATAGTATTAAGAATATAGTATTTAATCAATCAGATTGAGTTCTTGAGTACTCTCATTTATTTGACCCAATGTTGATCTTGACAATAATATATCTGTATTAATCTGTACAATGATTTTGCCCCAGATAAAGCTATCTTGCCCCTTTGGTGGAGGAGATTATCAGAATGACTGAATGCAGATTAAGCTTTACCATGTATTAATAAGACTTTGTGCAAGTCACTTCTCTTTATATGCTGGTTCTTTGGTTATAAAAATCAAAGTATTATTAGAACTTAAATAATTGTTGAGCAATTTAAGTGTCTTTCAGCCATTTTAGATTCTTCTATTGAGAATTCTCTACTTAGTTCTGTACCCCCACTTTTTAATTGGATTATTTGGTGTTTTGGAGACTACCTTCTTGAGTTCTTTGTAAGTTTTGGAGATCAGCCCTCTGTCAGATGTGGGGTTGGTAAAGATCATTTCCCAATCTGTGGGCTGTCGTTTTGTCTTGTTGACTCTGCCCTTTGCCTTACAGAAGGTTCTCAATTTCAAGAGGTCCCATTCATTAATTGTCAATCTTAGTGTCTGTCCTACTGGCATTATGTTCATAAAGTGGTCTCCTGGGCCAATTCCTTCAAGGGTACCTCTGACTTTCTTTTCTAAGAGGTTCAGTGTGGCTGGATTTATGTTGAGGTCATTGATCCATTTGGACTTAAGTTTTGTGCATGGTGATAGATACGCATCTATCGGCAGTTTTCTACATGCCAGTGTCTAGTTATGCCAGCACCATTTGTTGAAGATGCTTTCTTTTTTCCATTGTAAACTTTTAGCTTCTTTGTCAAAGATCAGATTTTCATAGGTGTGTGGGTTAATATTGGGGTTTTCAATTCAATTCCATTGGTCTGCCTGCCTATTTTTGTTTCAATGCCAAGCTGTTTTCATTGTTTTAGCTCTATAGTAGAACTTCAAGTCAGAATGGTGATGCCTCCACAAGTTCTACCAGATACTCAAAGAACAGCTAATACCAATACTCTTCTAATTGTTCCACACAATAGAAGCACAAGGTTCATTGCCAAACTCTTTTTACAAGGCTACAATTACCTTGGTACCCAATCCATACAAAGACACAACTAAGATAGAGATCTACTTATTCCGATTTTTTGTATCTGTTGAGGTTTGCTTTATTGCCCAGTATGTGGTCAATTTTAGAGAAGGTTCCTTGTGGCTCTGTGAAGAAGGTATATTCTTTTGTGTTTGGATGGAATGTTCTATAGATGTCTGTTAAACCGAATTAAGTCATAACTTCTGTTAGTTCCTTTGTTTCTTTGTTAAGTTTCTGTCTGGTAGTCCTGTCCAGTGGTGAGAGTGGGGTGTTGAAGTCTCCCCTGTAAGTGTGTGGGGTTTAATATATGATTTAATTGTTAGTAATGTTTCTTTTATGAATGTGGGTACCTTTGTATTTGGTGCATAGATGTTCAGAATTGAGACTTCATCCTGATGGATTTTTCCTGTGATGAATATGAAATGATCTTCTTCATCTCTTTTGATTAATTTTAGTTTGAATTCTAATTTGTTAGATATTAAGATTGCTACACCAGCTTGCTACTTAGGGCCATTTGATTGGAAAATCTTTTCCCAACCCTTAACTCTGAGACAATGTCTGTCTCTGAAGGTGAGGTGTGTTTCTTCTATGTAGCAGCAGAATGGATTCTGTCTTTGTATCCATTCTGTTAGCCTGTGTCTTTTTATAGGTTAGTTAAGACCATTGATATTGAGGGATATTAACAACCATTGATTGTTGATTCTTGTTTGTTTTGTATTTAATTTTGGTGGTGGTATTGTATGTGAATGTTCCCCCAACTTATGGCTTTTGTTAAAGTGGGATTATCTATTGCCTATGTTTTTGTGAGTGTAGTTAACTTCCTTGGGTTGGAGTTTTCCTTCCAGAACTTTCTGTAGGGCTGGATTTGTGGATATGTATTTTGAAAATCTGGTTTTGTCATGGAATATCTCGTTTTCTTCATCTAAAGTGATTCAGTGTTTTGCTGGGTGTTGTAGTCTAGGCTGGCATCCGTGGTCTCTTAGTGTTTGTGGAACATCTATCCAGGACCTTCTTGCCTTCAGAGTTTCTATGGAGTCAGGTGTAATTCTGATAGGTCTGATATGTTACTTGGCCTTTTTCCTTCACTGCTCTTAATATTCTTTTTTTTTTATTCTGTATGTTTAGTGTTTTGATTATTATGTGGCGAGAGGACTTTTTTTTTGGTCCAGTCTATTTGGTGTTCTGTAAGCTTCTTGTACTTTCATAGGCATGTCCTTCTTCAGGTTGGGAAAGTTGTCTTCTGTGATTTTGTTGAATATGTTTTCTGCACCTTTGAGATAGTCTTTCTTGTCTTCTTCTATACCTATTATTCTTAGGTTTGGCCTTTTCGAGGTGTCCCATATTTCCTGGATATTTAGTGTTAAGGATTTTTTTGGAATTAAGGCTTTCTTTGGTTGATTAATCTATTTCTTCTAGTTTATCTTCAGTGCCTAAGATTCTCTCTTCCATCTCTTTTATTCTGTTGGTTATGCTTGCCATCTGTAGTTCCTGATAGTTTACCCAGCTCTTCTATTTCCATCATTCCCTCAGTTTGTGTTTTCTTGTCTGAATTTTAGTTTTCAGGTCTTGAGTTGTTAGGGAATTGTTTCCTTCATCTGTTTGATTTTTTTTCTCTCTCCTTGCTCTCTTTAAGAGATTTGTTGATTCTTGCATTTTTGTTTGTTTTTTCTTCCATTTCTTTAAGGGATTTTCTCATAGTCTCTTTAAGGGCCTCTGTCATTTTCATGAAGTTGTTTTTAAGGTTGCTCTTTTCCCGCTTCATCTGTGTTGGGATGTTTAGGTCTTGCTGGTGTAGAATCCCTAGACTCTGGTGGTGTCATATAAGTCTTTCTGATGTTGAATGTGTTCTTATTCTGTCATCTTCCCATCCCTTCTTCCAGGGGGTACAGGTGGGGTCTCTCCCTCCTCTGGTGGGTATGGGTTCAAGGCTGTATCCTCTCCTCTCTCCTGGAGGGTGCAGAGGCAAGACAGGCTGCTGATGCTGGATGCTTTGTTCTGCCTCCAGGTCCTTCTGGGGGATTTGGTGGCAGGAAGGGTCTACAATTACTGTTTTTCAGATTTTATTACTGGGGTCTTAACAGTTACCTTTGAGGGAGAGAGGATAGAATTCATAGTCCTTATTTTCTAGAAAAGAAAGGAAATCAGACTTAAACTGATTTGCTTCAGTTCACATCTGGTAAGTTATGAAGTTGAACTTGAAACTAATTCTTCTGATTTATGCAGTATCTTAAATGACAGGGAAAAGGATACACTTGTTTGTGGTTAAAGTCAGAACCGAATAGTTTAGTTCAATTTTGCTTTCTGTCTTTACCAGGAAATAGTATAGTAGCTGACCACTTGTAAATGATCAGTGATTTTTATTGAACAAATAGACTAGCAAGTATCTAAATACATATATTGCTAAGATTTCATCTGTTTATTGGCAGTACTAGGTATTGCTCAGCATGCTAGGCAAGTGCTCTATCACAGCCCCAAGGATGAACTATAATGTCACTACTCACTGCTATGGTAACTCATTCATTCCTGCAAAGTTTTAAGGTATAGATAAGTTCATTTATGAAAAGTTCTTTAGTTAATCTAAGAGTTCTTATTTTAAGTGGTTTGGTTTACTTGAACAGAAATAACAATGTGTTAAGTAAATGTACCACTGTGATGTGGTATTAGGGGATAAATAATAGACTGCACTTTTGAATAATAGATCTCAGTAAGGTTTCTTTTACCGCTTTTTAGATGCTGTTCTATAGCTTTAAATAACCTGTAACAAAGTCCATTTGGCAAATCACTGTGTTTCATTTGGCCACTTAACATTTGTTCTTCATTCTCAAGATTTGCAAAGATAGAAGCTGTTTGGTGATAAGACTCAAACCATAGTGAAAATGTTGAATTTCAGTGGAAGATTTTTCTGTAGTTTGTTTCAGCAGTGAGAGAAACTGATTGTCCTCAGCCCTTGCTCAAACCTGTCAGTATTTTTAAGTCTTTATGAAGCCTTCCATGATCTGGTTTTTGCTACCTTACCAGCCCCTCCCCACTTAACCTACATTCATGAATTTAACTTCAGGGAATTATGTGAAAAATGAATAAATAATTTAGAGTTCCTGTTTTTCCCACCCTACCCTTCAGGGCTATGAAAACAGTCTTCTAGAAGTAGTTCTTTCTGTTGTGTACCATAAATCCCCAAACGAATGCAAACAAAAACCACAAACCTATCTGGTGGCAGAGACTCCATGTACAAGGTATGCTCCTTAAATCATAAACTTCCTGATGTTTCCTCTTTGTGAAATTTCTCATTAAATTGTGGATTGGTTTGATGGTGCTGTGTTGGTACTTTGATTCTTAGCTTCATTCTACCCATGGAAAGAACTTTAGAGACAGCCCACATATATCTCTTTTGTGATATATTTTCTACTGAGATCATTAGGAGACTTGCGACTGGCTTTCCCTTCCCACTGCACCAATATGTTTTTGTTTTTTAAATTGTTTCCAACTGTCTTCCTTCTCTTTGTACTGTGTCCCTGAGTTATGACTGCAGCTACATAAAGAAGTGAGGTTCCTTTTTCTCTCTTTATTTCTTTTTGTTTTCTTTCTTCCCCTTCTCTCCCTGTTTTTTCCTTTTTTACATACAAGTTTTGTATGTTTCCTCAAAGAAATAAATGATTTCTGTAGAGTAAAATCCTTGTCACAGCTTAGTGACTGGTTCATGAAAACAAAATTGTAATTAGTTATCCAGCTAACTTGTTTGCCTGCTGTATTTTATTATAATAAGGATACTTAGATATGCTGTATTAACAAATTTGAAAATAAACCATATGCTATTATTTTGGGTAGACACAGTCTTGTACAGCAGATCTCTAGAACTTTTCTTCTGTAACTGAAATATTTTACTCTTGTAAACTAATTAAACTCAGAGAAACAAGGCATAGCATGGAGAACAACAGGAGGAGGGAAGTACCTAACTGCAAATCAGTAAGGAATTATTTTTTTTCTGGCTATCATTGTGTGCAGGTATGTGATCAGTTGTACTTGACGTAGAAAGAAAAGAGTGAATTTGGTGACTTGATTCTCTTGCAAAGAACAATTGTTTTTCTAGTTCTGCAGTTTCCTGCTAACAACCACATCACTACTGTCCTACCCCAGTACAAAATAGAAAAGATAAACTACCAAGATTGCTTTTTCCAAAACAGTAGCATATATAGGTGTTCCCAGATCTTGATAGAAAACACATGTGAAGGAGAGGCTTCAACTAGCAGTTATTTTCTCACTAAATTGATAACATTTTGTTTGATAATTAGTTTAAGAAACAAAACTTCTTTTTATGAGCACAGCTAACCCTGTTACATTAATATAGGAATACCAGGATTTGGGTCATCTGAATGTCACCAACAGCATCAAAATCAAGTGTGAGCAGATGCACTTCTACCTTACAAGACTCCGCATTACTGTGTCCCACACTGTGTAGAGCTCAGTGTATTTGACTAGTCCTTTTGATCACTGTGTATGTACTGAGTGCTGCCTATTTCAAGTCAGCAGTGTAGGTACTTTGGCCTTTGTTGATAATGACTTTGCTAATGACTGTGTTAGCTACCTCACAGTCTGAATTGTCAGCTTCTCCTCCCCACTAGACCATGTTGCTCTCCTTTCTTCTCTAATCTTTCTTTCTTCTTCATCCCCCTCTCCTTCACTCCTCCATGATTTTTCTCAGGGCTGGGCTTCAACATCGTCGGTGGGACAGATCAACAGTATGTCTCCAACGACAGTGGCATCTACGTCAGCCGCATCAAAGAGGATGGGGCTGCAGCCCGGGATGGGCGGCTCCAGGAGGGTGATAAGATCCTCTCGGTGAGAAATGCCTTCGGCTCCCTTTGCTATACTTTGCTCCCCTGACCTCCTCTGACCCCTTCCTTGGGAAGATTCTAGCCTGCCTGTTTGAAAATGAAAATACCTAAATTGTATCATTGAATGGGAAGAACATTGATCAATCTTTCAACTTTACTACTGGGCTTGGAGGATAATATTATTCTTGTTTGACAGACAAGGCAAATTTAACATAGAATGTGAAGTTACTTGCCCTAGTTCAAAAAACACAAAGCAAGTAGAGATGAAGCACTGGTTTGGAGGAAGAGTTAAGCTCACAGTTTTCACCTTTCTCTAGTTAGCTTTATCACCTCTGTTTTGTTGATTAAACTACTGATTTTTGCCTTGTCTTGTCATATTGTCAGCCCTTAGTAATTGTCTTAACTTCAAAAAAGAGGTAAGGATTAAGTTTCTTCCTTAAAATCAGGGCCCTTTCCCATTATTAAGATGAAAAATTGAAATAGAGTTTGTATATCTGTCAGTTGTGCTCCCATTTCATCCTGTTAATGTCTCTTACTAATCATGAATTTTATTCATTTTTTATCTACCCAAAGGCAGTAATTAAATTAAAAAAAAACCTTTCCATGTCTTAGTACAGTGCTCAACATAGGCTTTTAACAAATGAGAAAATTCATGCAAGCTTAGAAAGGTTGACTAACTAATACAGTCATATGGGCTCAGTCCCTTAGCCTTTAAATTTTTTTGTTATTATTATTATTATTATTATTATTAGTGTGTGTGTGTGTGTAGGGGCATATGTGCACATGAGTGCTGGTGCCCATGGAAGCAAGAGGTATTGATCCTCCTGGAGCTTGAGTTACAGGCAATTATAAGTTGTCCCATGTGATTGCTAGGAACTGAACTCAGGTCCTCAGAAAGAGCACTACATGTTTTTAACTGCTGAGCCATCTCTCCAGGTCCAGAACCTTAGTTTTAGAATAAATTGAATGTTTCTAAAGTAAATCAGAATTCAGGCAAAATAAAACTCTTATTCCTGGATGCATGTTTTCATTTCTGTTCTACCTTACTGACTATAGTGTCATTATTATACTATTAGTTGTGGAAGTTGGGAAAGGTTAGATCATGCTATAGATTTTTTAAAATTAATGTTTTGGGCTGTTATTTTTCAGCTTATTTGTATGGAAATAACACACATAATTGGTATAAAGAATGGGAAAGTACTGAGAGGGTGAATTATTATCAAGGATTTCCTGGGAGTTAGACCTGGCTACAAAGGGCTGTCCTCAAATTAAGAGAAATTTGAAGTCCGATAGGACTTTTAGCAGAAGTGCCCTGTTTCCTCATGTGCTGTGGTCTAAAGAAGAAAAACTGTTTCCTACTTTGCCTCTTGAATTGAATAGGGCAAGAGGGCTAAACTGGTAAAAGGCTGAAGTAAATGAAGAGTAGACCAAGACAAGATTTGATTAAGAGATAATTATTATATCAGAGACTTGATTTAGAACTTCCATATTCTTTTTAAAGTTCTTATTACAGTTTTGTTTTGGATTTTCTCTTTTGAATTACCTGTCATAGAGTTCATTTGATTAGTGATAAAAGTCGTATATGTGAAGTCTCCTGGTCATCTTAGATGCTAGCTTATTGGGTGGATACTTCCCTGCCATTCAGTTCATTTGGTAGCAGTATATGAAGACAGGAAGAATGTATACCTTTTTTTTTTTTTCATTTGACATATAAGATTTGAGAGATCTGGTTCAGTTTTGAATGTCTCCTTAGGAAGCCAGGCATGGGGACACACACCTAAAGTCCTCCCATACTCAAAAGGTAAAGCAGGAACATTTTGAGTTCAAGTCAATTGTGAATTACTTAGCAAGATCCTGTCTCAAAAAAGAGATACACATAAATCCAAGACAAGTAGTTATGAAAGCTTATAAATTAAGAATCTTAAGAATGTGTTCAATATATAAGTGCCATGGATGGCATTATTTTGGTCCATCTCACTGACTGTTTGGCATGTTTCAGCCCATGAAGCTTTTCCTAGTCCTTCTACATTAGACTGCAAGATAGGGATAGTGATTAATAATGAAGAATTTAGGAACAGGTATTTTGTCATTCTCAGAAGAAAGACATTGTAAAATACAAACCAACTTTGCAGTAGTAGAAATAAGAAAAACTGTGAGTGGGTTGTTAAAGGTACAGTGTGTAATTAGTATTTTACACAGAAATCACAATCTCTCAAACACTATCCCCTTGAGTGAAGAGAAATTTGAAAAGTATAGGGTTCAGTATAAGGCTTAAAGAGAGAGGCATGTTTGGAAATCTCTGCTTAAAGGCAGGTTATCTAAAAAAGAATTATAAGCAATTTTTAAGCACAAATGACAACTTTTAATGTAATCTTGTTTAATATTATAGTATAATATAGTGGGTTTTAATATTAGAGTATAATATAATGGGTATAATGATTATGCACATTTTCCAGCTGAGGAAACTGAGGCTTGATGAAGTCAGGTGGTTTTACAAGTGACATAACTAGCTTGGGGAAATAAAACTTCCATTTATCTAAATTTGGATCCTTTGTTAAAACTAATATTAACACTATATTGTCTTCCTAAAAAGCAAGTGAATAAGTAAGATTAACTACTCTAAAAAGGAAGTTACATAGTGAAATAACTAGTAGTTTATAAAAGAACTGAAATTAACCTTTCTATCAAGGGTAGAATTAATGGTATACTCCATCTTTAATCCCAACACTCAAGAGGTAGAGGCAGGAGGACCTCTATGAGTTCAAGGCCAGCCTGGTCTGCAGAGCAAACTCCAGGACAGCTAGAGCTGCACAAAGAAATCCTCTTAAAAAAAAAAAAAGGAAAGAAGGAAAGAAAGAAAAGAAAAAACAGCCACACAAACAAAAATAATGCAAACAGTCTCTGTGGCTTACAGGCTATGACAGCCTCTTTCATCTCCAAAGTGAACCTTGTAGGCTATTACTTTTAAAAGGTTCCATCTATTTAACTTGCTTCATCCCTGGTTCCTTAAGTTTTCATTTATTATTCCCTATGATGTATCTATAAAAGTTTGCTAACTTATTTTATTAGCTTATTTTATTTAGTTAGCTATTTTGCAGTTCTAGGGATTGGATGCAGGGCCTTGTACGTGCTAGGTAAGTTGCTGTTACATCTCTTCTGCCCTTTCAGTTTATTTTTAATGGGTTTTCCTATTTCTCTGGAATACTTTCTCTGTTGTAAAATACCTTTATGTCTTTTTAACATTTCCTAAATTATCAGACTAAAACTCTATTCCGTCTTTAGCGCACAAGTACACATCCATTGTAGGTAATGAATAGAATCATTAAGTATACATTTCCCGTGAGTTATTGCACTCTTTAATTTACTCTTACCATTCTCCCTGAATATTCTCCATATGTTGTCTTGATTTCAGGTTCTGGAAAAACTGTATGATATAGTGTGCATTTCTTCTTTTTTCATAAGAAGTGGAATTTATTTTTTTCTTTTTTAAGATTTATTTATTTATTATGTATACAGTGTTCTGCCTGTATGCCAGAAGAGGGCACTGGATCTCATTATAGATAATTGTAAGTCACCATGTGGTTGCTGGGAATTGAACTCAGTACCTCTGGAAGAGCAGTCAGTGCTCTTAACCTCTGAGCCATCTCTCCAGCCCTGGAATTTAAGTTTCTATGGCCATTGCATATGATTTATACCAAAAGATAATAAAAATTTAGGTAAGCAAGTAAACACTTTTTTTAAAAAAAAAAAAAAGTCATTTATACTGTGAATGAACCAGAAGCAGATGTTCATAATGAATCTGAAGTTGAGTGAGAAGTAGACATCCGCTCACCCATTGTTTATTTTCTGTGTCTTGGTAAAAATGGTTTGATACTGGAAGCTGGGAGAATATTCTTTATGGTAAATAAAAGGTAGAATTAAGTTTCTTATTTCTCCTGCATGCCTGAATGAAGGGAGGGTCAAGAATAGTCATTCCTCAGTGAACTTAATATTCTTATAAATTCATGGTGATGTGGCTGGTTCTTATACACTACATACTTGAATGTTCCATTTTGACCAACCTCCTATCATAGTGGTGACAGAGATTGGGCCATTAGTCAGCTGCATTTCAAAGTGTTAATTGGAAGAAGGAGTTTGATAATCGCATGTGGAAGGGAGCTATGAGAGATTAAACAGACATGCTGGAGAACTTTTCACACTTAGTATAGTAAGTCAAGAGAGCATCTATGTTTTCCTTACTTACCAGTTCCATTTTTATGTCCTGAGCAGTAAAATAGTTATGAACAGAATTGTACTGTAGGAAAGTGGATTGTGAGACAGCATTTAGGATAGGATGGGGAGAAATTGTGGGAAGTAAATCAGAAAAGACAGTCACTATGATTCAGCAAAGTAGCCACAACCTAAATTGGCAGCCTTAGGAGAGAAAGTAGCATAAAGTCATGATGTTAAGCTGCAAGACAGATACTACATGTGCCGATTATCTGACAAGAGAGTATTTAAAAATTATACATCTTAAGGGATAGGAATGTCATTAAGAAGGAAGTTAGGATATTCTGCTGTTGTAGGAAGTTATAAAGAGACTTTGGACATACTGAATTAGAGTCTACCAGAATATCTACCAGAATATCTAAGTATTAGCATCCAGCAGAGCACTGGCAAATCCTAAAGCAGAATTATTTTGGAGAATATGGTAGAAATGATGAAAGATGCCCATGAGGGAAATTTGGAAAGAAAAGATAGCTAGCAATCAAGAATATATACCTACCTTGAGAGAGAAACAGACACAGAAATCAAGAAAAAAAAGTAAGAGAGCTAAGTATTCATCATCCAACATAAGGGAGGATTACAAAAAAAGACATTCTACCGGTTGTGAGAAAGTGGTAAGAATTAAGTATTTGAAGTCCCATCTGACCTTCAGGAGAGCATGTCGTTTCACTTTACATATGAAGGGAATGAATATTTAGTGGATACGGAGGTAGTACACACAGTACATGAAAACAGTCTTTTAATGTGCATGGTGTTTAGCCTGTTGTATGGATACATGTGTATTACATGTGTGCCTGGTGCCTACCGAAGCCAAATGAAGGCATCAGATCTCCTGGAACTGGGGTTACAGATGGTTGTGAACTGCCATGTTGCTGGGAACTGAACCCAAGTCATCTGGAAGAGCAGCCAGTGCTCTTGGCCAAAGGGTCATCTCTCCAGCCCTGCAAACAGTTTTTTCAACAATATTGCAGGGGAAGAAACAGAAGAGAGGAAGGGTACAGCTATGTGCGTGCATTATTTTCTTTATAGAGGATAGTCGCTTTAGTTGAGGAGGAGCAGCAAAAGATCTGTAAATAAAATAGACTTAGAGATTAGGGAAAAGGAACAGTGAGAGAATATCAAAATTTGAGAGAGAAGATAACAGGGAAAGAGTGATGTGCCTTCAGTATTCTCACAAAGGGTGAAGCAAAGGAATCTGCTGAGGGAATCAGGGTTAGGCCAATGGAGAGGGTGTGTAACAGATATTGGTGAGCATTTATTAATGAGTTTGCTTGATGAATAGCAGAGGCTTAAGGATAGCTGTAGCAGCTAACTTGGATCTCTGTACAAAATGTAACCATGTTTTTCTCTGGGAATATGCAACTGAATGAAGGCAAGGAGCGTAGTATTCCCAGGACTGGAAAGATGTCAGGTAACCAGGATAAGAAACTCCAATAATTTATGAGTTGCTTTGTTGAAATTACAGTCAAAATCTTGGATGGATAAAATGCAAGTAAAATATGAAGAGGTGAAAGCCACTAACAGTAAAGAAGAAATCTAATGGAGGAATAAAAGTATGAAGAGTAGAAATTGTGGTCAGATTTTTTTAGAGCTGGATATATGTTTAGTTTGTCTAGTGTTGATGTCTTGAGTTTGTCTCAGTAACTAAATACATTATAATTATTAGAAATATTCAGTGTGTAAAATGAAAGTATTGGTAGTTTCACTTACCAAAGATCCTAGCAGGACTTAAGAGTAGAAAGAACATTATAAATCAGTTAGAGAAGGAAGAGGTCAGGCTTTCATGGGGCTGGTGTTTCAAGATGACAGAGATAGATTTCTGTAGGGTAAGTAGACTTTTCCTATGTATTCTCACTATTGCTATCAAGCCTGCCTCTGACTACTTTTTCTTCTGGTGATTACTCTGTCGCTCCTACTGTGAATGGGAAATTTCCCCAGCTGCTGTGTTTCTTAAGCTCCCTATCCACTTGTCAACAACTTAGATCTGATCAGGACCATGTATATAAGTTCCCCCACTGAGCTTTTCCTGGGCTCCCAACAAATGAGAACTCTGCACAAACTTGATCTGTCTCAGTACCCTCTTGACCTACTTACTAACCTATGTCTATGATGAGAAGAATAAAAATGTAAATTGCCTTAGCTAAGGGGCAGTTGCCAAGTCAGGGTGGGAAAGTAAAAACATTCAAAGAACAGCAAAATGCAAGGAACTTCATTATTTAAATCCTCTGCCCCTAGCTTCTTCACTCATGATCTCTCTGTGTGTCAATGACTTCATCAATAAAAATCAATATAAAATGCAGGCTAACTCATAGAGTAACTGTAGGAATTAAATTTGATAGTGTATATGAAGCACGAACCCACTAAGTACACTAAATATTCTTACTGCTAATGCTGTTAATAGTGACAGTGATATGTATAAAAATATGTAATCTTGAACAAACTGGGATGTGTTGAGTTACTGTGTGCAGTATAGATAACACTTGTGACTCCTAGCACCAAAATGAATACTTGTGCTTCCTATTTGTCACCTCTTTGTAGTAGGAATGACCTACATTCAAGTGATTTGTAAAATGTCGTATTATCACAGAAATAGATATTTAGTAAATTTGAGGACAGGAATATACATGGAACCAATGAAAATTGTTCACAATAAAATAAGCTCACTAGAATGGGCTAGTACAGCTTTACAGAAAAATCAAAATAAATTTGAGAACATAGAATTAGGTTTCCAGGGCTGATGCTAGAAATGCTGACGATTAGGAATAAAAGGATAGGGGGTAACCTAGAAGATTCTTCATGACTCATGTAGAAACAGACAAATATCCACAAATAATATGCAAATACAGTAACAGGAACCCATACATCTAAACAAGATAAGCACAGAAACTCATCAGGAAGAGAAACAATTCTAGTTAAATCTGAATTCATTTCAGATAGTTTGTGGATCCTAAGTTGTAGGAAAACATAACTTTGAAAATGAAGAAGTACTTCCTCCTGAGTGCCAAGTAACTTAGGCCATATTCCTAGCTCTTGGGATTTGCCCTGAAAGAGTTTGATTTTATTTTTAATAAATAAAGGGTTGGTTGCCTGCATGAAAGTAAATTGTTCACTTTAGAGACTTAGTTCCTTGCTTTTCTTACTTCTCTTTCTTGCTGTTTTTGAAAGGTAAATGGCCAAGACCTAAAGAACCTGCTACACCAGGATGCTGTAGACCTCTTTCGTAATGCAGGATATGCTGTGTCCCTGAGAGTACAACATAGGGTAGGTATCACTTGCAGCCAGACATGGGACAGTAGGCTTTCTCACTGCACTTTGGAATATACTTGTGGATGTAATCTTCAAAGTCTTTTTTATTTTTTTCTTTTGCTATTACTGCTTTGTAGGGTTTGTCTAGCATACTCAGGAGTCCTTTGGCATTTCTGCTTCTCAGTAGAAGTGTATATATAACATTAACATTATACTTATAACCCAGGTCAAAAATTACCTTCAGTGTAGGTTTTTTTTTTTTTTAAGTAAAGTTTAATCAAGTGAAAATGGAAAGAAACTGGAATCACTTTTACTTTTTGTTAGAGAGTACCATTTTTGTACCTTTGAAAACTCTTATTTATGACTGCAAAGATGGCTATGTTTTCTGTCTTCTGTTTCCATGACCACATTGGCTAAGACCTGAGTGCAAACTTGAAAGGTAACTCTTAAGAAAAAAAGAAATGGAATTGAGAATACTTACCTCTGCTGTTGCTTCTTTTCTTTCTTTTTCTTTTCTTTCTTTTTTTTGAGATAGGGTTTCTTTGTATAGCCTTGGCTGTCCTGGAACTCACCCTGTAGATCAGGCTGGTCTTGAACTCACAGAGATCCACCTGCTCTGCCTCCCAAGTGTTGTGTATAAAGGCTTGTGGCACCTCCTATCTACATCTGCTTCTTATTTCCTGGTGTTTTAGAATTTGTATGATGGGGAGGAGGTCTGAGTTCCTCTCACAGCATCAAAGATTTCTGAGTTCATCTATAGCCCAAGTTCAGTGTTCCTATGATTCTTTTTTAAATTGGTATATTCTTTGCTAAAAGGCCAAGTGAGGATTTAGAGGCTCAAGAAGATTAAAAGGAGCTAGTAAAAAATTGGAGAAAGCAGAAGCTAACTTGAACTACATGGTGAGACTCTGTGTTAAAGAAAAAAAAAAAAAACAACTAAAGAAAAGAAAAATAAGAAAGGCAAAACATAAGGCTATCAAGAAAGTAACCAGGTTGCAAACAGAATGTGAATGTAATAGACTCAAAAGCAGGTTGATAAGAGACAGTATTGGTCTGCTTTTGCCATGGCTTTTCTGTTTCTAAAGCATGGGAGAATTTATGTAGGCATATAAATAATAGGCATATATTTCAGATATGATATGGGTTCCATTTGAAGGCATCTGGGAATTTATTTTCAGTGTTCACTTTAGGAAATATCCATAAATAACTTACAATGCAACAAGCTCTATTGGTTAAAAATTCACCTAATCCTGAAAACCATGTTTTTAAGTGAGCATGTCTTCTCAGGAAGAAATAAGTGGTAGAGTAAGTATAAAAGATAGTTTGTTGTCTTGCTTTACAGTTGCAGGGGTAAGAATTTCATGGGCTATATGTGGTTAAGCCTAAGTGAAATACAATGGTATTATAGTTATTGCAAGTTAACTATAAAAAAATTGGTATTAAGAATGGCTATCCCTGCAAAACAGGACTGAAATGAAGAAAAACAATCTAGCTATTAAAGGAAATTCTTGGGGGAATAGAAACTGATAATGATTTGGACATAGTTTATTTATCTCTTGAGTCTTTAATGTCTATTTCACATAGATTTTACCTTTATCTGTGACTAACATTGCAAACTTAGACATGAAAAACAAAACCCCATGTTAGGAGCAAGAGGGTAATTTGGAAGCTGTAAAGCATTTCCAAGTAATGACATTGCAACTGGATCTGCTCTTATTTTATTCCAATTACTGATAGTTTTTATAAGTAAATATTTTCAGAAAGAAGTCTTCCTTTCTCTCCCATTTCCTGCTCAGCAATATCCAGACTTCCTGAAGGATCATAGGTTTCATCTCATCCTTTCATTTTCCTGATAGGAAGCATATATAACAAGATAGAGGCATTATAAAAACAGAGATGGTGTACTTTACCCTGTGAGGTCCCATAAGTCAGTACCAAGCAAGGTTAAATGCTTCCCTGTCAGAACTGTTTTCTTCCCAGAGTATCCATGAAAGTAATGCATCAGCTATGACAAGAGCTTTTTCTGCTAGGTTATGTGGGGTAGCTTTGGGTGGTGTAGAACTACATCTCCAGGTAATTGTCAACTTGGATCTTTTAGTTGTGGCAAATGCAGTAGTCAGAGTTAATGTTTTGCCTTCTCTTTCAGTTACCGGTGCAGAATGGACCTATAGTACATCGAGGTGAAGGAGAACCAAGTGGTATTCCTGTAGCTATGGTGCTGCTACCAGTGTTTGCCCTCACCATGGTCGCAGTTTGGGCCTTCGTGAGATACCGAAAACAGCTTTGAAATGCTTGCTGTCTTCCAGTGTGTCCAGTGAACTATTTCTCTCACTCACCTTCCTGCCATTCTCCCATGTCCTTTCTTCTCTACATAGCCAACACTTGATTTAAAGTGACTGATTACACTCAAAACTTTACTGTTCAAACTCGCCAAATCTTCTAATTCTAATGGGAGAATAAAGGTATTATTTGGAGAATAAGCTGGGGCGGGGAGAGGGAAGCCTTGCTGAGAACAAATGAGAAGTTACATATTTTACTAGAACTGCCAATAAAAATTCAGCTATCACCCAAAGAGGAAAGCTCAGTCTTCCTGTAACCACAGATGACACCTTTTTCTTAGCTGGTATGCTTTGAAGGCTAGCTGTGCTACATGAAAGGAGGAGCTAATTTTTCTTTTTCTTTTAATGCTTTTCCTTGTGAAGTGTTTGTGGCCTTTAATTTGTAACTATACCTAGATGCCTATATTGGACACAGGCAAATGGAGGATTTTTTTTTTTACTTCAAAAAGAAAATACATACAGTAATCCACATGCATATATGATAGCATAACATTGATGCCTTATAAGAGTTGAGAAAACCATACTGGTTCCTGGGTTTCTAATGGACAATTTTTTGAGGGGAGTAGGGGGTCATCATATTCCTTCATATGTAATCAAGACTCATATTAAGCAATGAGTTCTGGATTGTAAAGAGACCTTACTTTTACACTTGTCTGTAAGTCCTTGTCCACCAATTAAAAAAGCTTACTCAGTGCTAAGGGATGATTGTAACTGAAGAACTTCAAGAGCTTTTTTTTGCAGAGCATGGATAATGGGGATGGGAAAATTTCAAAGAGAATACTCAGTGTTATTAGGAAAATAGTAACTGAAGCAATTAGTTGAAAACTGTAGAAGAACAAGTGTCACACAGTAGCTATAGTGAACTGGTGAATTGTAATAAAACAGCTCTCCTCAAGTCAATCTGTTCAAAAGACTTTGCGGTATAAAGATAAGTCCTACCAACCTCTGAAGTACCCTAGTTGGTATTTTACAGTGCTGTTAACTGGGCAGCAGTGGGGCCAAATGAACCAGAAGGGCCAAAAGTTTTCTTGATAGACAACTGAAAAAAAAGTCATGCCTCAAGATGCCACTTGCACCCTCAAGGCTACTTAACAGTTTTCAGCTTCTAGTATCAGGCAACACCTTAGGGAAGGAGCTGCCTTCCTGGTAGGGTAGACTTAAAATCACCCTGCTTCTGATGGAATTAGGATAAGAAGGCCTGATGATGAATTGATTTGGTTTTGTTTACCGCCTCCCCCACCCCCCACCCCAGCTCTAAACACTAGTTTCGATTTTAATAAGTTAATGGACCATTTTTCAGAGAAGAGGAAGGAATATGTTTTGTTTGTTTGGTAGAGGGGACGGGAAGTTTGGGGAGTGCTTCCGAGGACAGCCCGAGAGCAGAATGTGGGTGAACAGATGGCAGAGAATAGCAGGGATAGTGGGAGCCATCCTGCCCATGTAGTGTCTGAGTTGCTTTTAGAGTGCTGAGGATAATTGAACCAAGACAGGTTTTTTGAACAAAAGAATTTCCATCTTCTAAGTATATTGGCCAGACTATTATTTTGACACAAGGTTATGAGTTTTCCTGACAATCTAGCAATTACTTAACAAGTGTTGGTTGTGCATTAGTTTTATCAAGATAACCTGTACAAAGACGGGAAATGCACAGACTTCATCTGAAAGGACACTGTGATTGCAGTTAGGAAGAGCACAGTTAAAATGGAACTAGCCACGTAAGTGCAAGTTGTTGTGTATATTGTAGACAACAAAAGAAAATAGCTCCTAAGAATTGGAGCATTCCATAGAGGAAGGGACAGGTTAAGGATCTCTAGGTGCTAACCATCTAGTAAGAGCATTCATAAATAGGTGGAAATTAAGAGTATCAGGTTGGATAAGAAATGAAACCAGTATGTAAAGAAATGTTGCCGTGGAAATGGAGCACAGTGTGATGATCAACAAGATGATCAAGAGGTCTTTTAAGGGAATCAAAAAAGGAAAGCTGTTGTGTTGTGGCATCAGAGTAGAATGGAAAGGAAAGTCTTAAAGTCTGATGAAACTTTGCCTCTGGGTAAACTTGATACAGGGAGAGATTTGCTTTAAACAATCTTTACGTAACTAAGCCTTTCAGTACTGTCTGAAATTTACTTAGTGACAGGAGTTATTGTAAGTCCCCCAGAAAATACAAAACTATATTGTAGTTCTTGTCACAGCCAGCGCCACTCTGGAGGCCCAGTGTCGGGTACTCTCCTTGTATGCAATGGCATATATAAAAGCGTCTGCCGTGGGCTACTTACCTCAGTATTCACCTCAGGGTTTTAAAGTTATTGTTAAAAGATTGTCACACATACAAAGTGAAACAAATGGCAAGAAGGATAGAAAAGTGTTGTATGTTGATATATGTAAATGAAAAACATCATTGGTGGGAGTTTTACTTTACATCAGTGGTAGGGATTCTGACACAGTCGGGTCTCCTTGGGAAATAAACAATACTTGATCAAAACATTTAAAATTTAGGCAAATACTTCAGTATTTCACTTTTTGTTGTATGAAAACTAAAATTAGCATAGATGGAATGTTAAGAATCCATGATAGAGTGTGAAAAATTTATGTTCATCATACTGACTCTAATATTCCTACCACTTGTAGACTATATATGATGCTCCTGCCACATAAATTATAATGTTTAAAGTTTTGAAAATTGATTATAGGTATACTTAAAGTATTTCTTGTATTTATCATTGTGTTTTATATGTAATTCTAATAGATATTGTTTGCTTCAGTTGTTTCTGTTTCCTTTTCCTGAAGTTTTCTGTGTGAGTGATTTCATGTAATTAATTGAACCATCTACTCACAGGCAACATGTGAAAATAGTATTTGTAATTATAGTCTATGGCAGGAACTATACTAAAGTGACTGGTGACACTATGTATTACTCTGAGATCCAAGTATTGCTATAAAGAGACTGAGAATGAAAAAAATAAATTATTTTCCTAAGATTATATGGGTAATAATAGAATCACAATTTAAACTTGGGACTTTGGGTGACAGTAACAGTAAGTATTTCCATTGCTAACAGTTCTCAAAGCAAGGTCTCTGGACAAAAGCATCAATATTTCCTGAAATTCTTGGATGTCATCCCATACATGGAGTGAGATGAACATGGCCACCAGCAACTGTGTCTTTCTAGGCAGCTGACTAAGGCTGAAGCTTGAGATTTACCACTGTCAGGAGCTGTTCTCTGGTTAGAATCACTTGGTCAACCCACATTAAATAAGGACTTCTGGGACTAGGACTTGGACAACAATAAAATATGTTTTATCAGGTGGCTAAAATGTGCAGCCTCTTTTGGAAGTGTTCCTTGGCATTTAAAGTATCAGATACCTGCAGATGAGGCTCTAGCCAGAATCAAGAACTTGGCTAAGTTCAGAGCCCAGCTCTCTAATAAGTAGAGTAAGAAGTGGAACATTGTTTCCCTCCTGTGTGCTCAGGACAGATCAACCTCGGGTACATATGTGCAGCCAATAAGAACCAATCATAGGATAGTGAATCTAAAAGACTCTTGGATAAATTTGTATTAGAAGTGAGAAAAGTTAATTGTGTGTGTGTGTGTGTGTGTGTGTGTGTGTGTGTGTGTGTGTGTGTGTGTGTGTGTCTAATTTTTTTTTGTTTTGGGTGTGTCCACTACAAGGATACATACAAAACTATATTTAAAAACTCGTGTTCTGTCTTTTCTCATTGGGCTTTCAATAAAGACCATTGTAGGCATCAAGATTGGAATGGGAGAGTATATTGAACAATCCAAGAAACCCAATCACGTGTTGTTTTAATTTCAGTAGTTTAAAATAAATATAGGTTGTTTGTGATATTTTTGTTTTTATTGTGCAAATAAGCAATTAAAATACATTTAGAGGCCAAGCATGGTGGTACATCTTTAATCCCAGCATTTAGGAGGCAGAGGCAGATCAGACAGATCCCTGTGAGTTGAAAGTCAGCTGTGTGTGTGTGTGTGTGTGTGTGTGTGTGTGTGGTCAATAATGATTTTTTCTACCCACTTTTAGTGGAAAATATCTTTGATTAAGATTTTTTTCTTCATTCAGCAGATAACTATCAACACCAGTACAGAAATACAATGATAAAATAGTCACTAAACTCAAGTAGCCCAGCATCTGAGAGTAGGTGGGCTTGATGTTAATATAACTTTCTAATATCACTGAGAAGTACACATTTTGAGTTCGTAAGCTCTCTACCTCTCACAATAGTTTAAGAGTTGACTGTCAACCCAGGCTAAGCCTTTTTTGCTGTTCCTTTTAACTGCAAATCTTTTTTTTTTTTTAAGAATAGCTCTCACAGCCTGCAGTGCAGTTATGATTAAGGGGTGGGGGGAGTAGATACAGTATTTTAAAGAATTGTGCCCAGTGGGAACCAGATTTTGAACTGCCATTGACTCTTATGTTGGTATCAGTAGATACAAAGCACATGACTGTTTACCTGATGCACTTGATATTATAAAAATTTACAGAAGAAAGCAATATTGGTATAAGGAATCTAGCTCCAGTAAACACTAATGCCTGTGACTATACAGTTCCTCACTGTTATGTTCCATTGTAACAGGAGAAAGGGAAGGGAAGAGGACCGATGTAAGTTTTCAAATGCAATATCGTTATTAATCAGCAGATTGATTTACAAAACAACTGTGTAAATATATTGACTAGTCACAGAAAAATGGGATGATCCTTTTCATAGTTGGTAGATTTGCAAATGAAGACACAGATGAAATTCTGTTTTTGTTTTACTTCTGTGTCTCCAATGCTAATTTGAATGAATTTGTTACTTCTGGATACTTGTACACCTTCCAGGCCATTCAGTTCTTGGAACATTATTTTCCTTAAATGCCTTATGTTGTTTTCTTTCTGCTATGATTCTTATGTTCCCCCTTGCATCCCTGAATGTAAACAGCAGCTGTTTCACAGGTTAGATGCCTGACAACTACTTGGAAAACAAGTAGACATGAAATCACACTAAGTAGGAAGTATCACCACAAATCCAGTATTGATGCTGATTTCAGTCTCTCTGTTTGATACCAGTGCATCCAGATATGCCTATTGAACTATGATATTCAATAAAGACCTGCTGAACTTATTTGAATATCTATGGTCTTGGATTTTTTCTTTTGGAGACTATTAAATAACTATTTCCTTATTTTTCTGTCACTTTAAACCATCTCTGATGGGACAATGGGAAGAGGAAAGAAACCTAAATTTGAGGCATACTTTTGATGGAAGAGGTAAGCACTAGGACTCAGCTCTGCTAAATAGAGGTGCTTAACAATTACTGAGTACTCACCAGTGTCGTAGGTATATCTGAAGCCCTTAACATTTCATTAAGGCTTATACAAGAGTAACTGTTATGTCCATTTTATGATGAGATGGGCAAGGCATAAAGAGGTTAAAAAATTTGGCCTGGTCACACAGTTACTAAGTGTCACCTAGGACTTAAAAGTCAGGCAATCTGGCCTTAAAACACTATATGGCTCTACTTTCAGGTGCTAGATGCTATATTTTGCTGCCCTTTCTCAATATCAGTTTCTCAAAACTACAAGGCAGTACAAATTGTTCCATCTTTATAGAGAAAATAACTGGATGTTTAAAGAAGATAACTTGCTGTAGTAAGTTATCTTAGATAACTTGATGTGTAGCTGTTTACTTACCAGATTTGGCAATTTACTTCAAATCAGTGAAGACTCCTGTACTCTTGAAGTACTTCAGAAAATGAAAGCTTATGTTTAATTTGATCCAGTCATGCTGCTAGATTTTTCAATTATGGGCCATAATACAAACTTGAGTGTACTAAGGTAATGTTTTATAGTTAAAGTAGCAGCACCATTCTGTCTTTATATTCAGGGTTTGGGAGCAATTGCCAATATTTACTCACCCTCTTCTATTACCCAAACCTAAGATGGGAGGCAGAAACAGGTTTTTATCATAGTTTAATAAGGACTTATTAGATGTGAAAATTAAGCTTTATTCTTTGGGTTTGTACAGAGCTGAGCTTGATTTTTTTTATAAAGGCAGTTTATACTATCATTGATGTCATAGAGTTTAAACATAGTTCATAACAAATCATTTGGTGGTCTGTAGTGTATATAAAATGACTATTGTGATAGACAAGGTTTGTCAGTTACTTGCTGAACCATTGCAAAAGTAATAGGTGGCTTAGTGCAATAATGTTTCAGTAATTCTTTCAAAATGAAACTTCTGTCTAGTGATTATTTCTTCTGCTAGTAACATTAGCTGCAGTCAACACTAGCTGAACATGACTGTACCTAAATAGGTAGTGCAGTACATGGGTAGTCCCAGGTGGTTTCTCTTATATGCCTGGCAGTGCTGACTGTTGACTGGAGTGTCTTGGTTTTTCTCCATATGACCTTTCATCTTCCAGTAGATTAGGCTTTTACCCAGCATTGGGAGGGTGGGGGTCTTCAGGAGAATATTTCTTCCCCCCCCAAGAGATTATTTTTTTATTAGTTCACATTAGAAACAAGCCTGCTTCACATCAATCCCTTTCCCCTCGCTCCCAACCCCCCACCTCATCCCCCCTCTGCTCCCCAAGGAGGGTAAGGCCTCCATGGGGGTTCCCAGTAGTCTGTCATATCATCCTGGGCAGGGCCTAGGCCCTCCCCCATGTGAACAGGCTGAGAGAGCATCCCTCCATGTGGGATGGGCTCCCAAAGTCCCTTCTTACACCAGGGATAAGTACTGATCCACTACCAGGGGCTCCCTAGAGTGCTGAGGCCTCATTAACATCCATGTTCAGGGGTCTGGATCAAGAAAGGGAAATTGTAATGCAAAAGTACTTACCAAACCTTCACTTTTGTCACACTTGTTAGCAACTTTTAAAAAATGTTTGCTACTATTACCATTTTTACTATTTATCTTTATATCATCAGATGTTACCAGATTTCCTGGTATTTGACAAACATTTGGTCACATCAAATTAGTGAAAAAAAAAAATGTTTGTTTGCTTCTCCAAATCCTATTTCCCTGCCACAGTCTGCTACTGGTTCAGCATGAGAATTTAAATATAGTGCCACCTAGATTTTGTCCTACAACAAGGCCTCCACAGTGTGTCAGACAGACTTGGCTTAAAAAGGAGGAGTGAGGTGCGTGTTAGCAAAGAGCGAATCCATTAGACCCTATCGTCAGATGATTTCGCTTCACTATTCTGTGTTGTGGGGGACTTTCTTTCATACCCACTGTCTCAGGCGGCAGGCAGTCCCTCCAGTTTCTGTTGAAGCTGAAGACAGTGGTCATCACATCACTCTCAACTGGAAGTCCAAGACCTAAAAGTTTTCACATATTCAGCTGGTTTCACAGACTTGAAGACTGTCACCACATTCCTCTGGGTATGGAACCAAATCAGAACCCGGGCTGTTTCCATGTGCTTTGCAGTAATCGATCTCTTTAATCTTGGGATCCTCCAGTAGTGAAGGCTTGACCCAAGGTCTATCAAGAGAGCCCAGGGGGCTGTAGGCCATGATGATGTCCCTGGAGTGACAGTACTGGATCAGTTTGTCCTGGGTGAGGTGTGGATGACACTGATTATTTTTCAGTCCAGGCTTGTTCTAGAGCCTTTTGTTTTGTTTTGTTTTTCTTGTTTTTGTTTTTCAAGCTTGGGTTTCTCTGTGTAGCTTTGGAGCCTGTCCTGGTACTTGCTTTGTAGACCAGGGTGACCTCAAATAGATCCCCCTGCCTCTGACTCCCAAGTGCTGGGATTAAAGGTGTGAGTCACCACTGCCCAGCGTTTCAGAGCCTTTCAATCTGGAAGTGCTTGAAGTTGGAGGTGCCCAGGGCTTCCATTAACTACCAATTGCCTACCAGTTCTTCCCTGATACCGCAGACATCCAAGAGTGTTATTTAACTGGTGAATAACATGGCCCTTTTCCTCTTTGACGAATAGCTCCTTTTTGGGCTGAAGTCTTTGTGGCTGGTGAATAAGATAGTTCAGTTTCAGATGCATGAGAGTCTTATGAAACACTACTTCATCAGTTGTCTCTGAAAGCAGGTGGTCCACAAACTGCTGACAATAAAGAGCTCCGCCACACCCAGCTTCACAACTTTCTCTTCCATCTTCTCTTGGATGGCTTCTTCCATTTCACTCTCATAATATCCATATGTGCAGTCACTGTGGCAATATCCATCATCAGTGGCCACCTTCACAGCTTCCTTGACTTGGCTTGGGGGAGAGAGTTCCAGGTAACCAGGCCCACAATGGGCATCTTGGTTTGGGTACTAAGCTACCCAAAAGGTAGCCATGACTGCTGCAGATGTCTGTCCATTTGTCAGTGTCTTCATAGCTGAAACAAGTCAGTGAAGCCCAGAACCACTGTGGAAAGAAACCTCACCTCTGCTATCTGATAGAATTAGTGCAAAGATGTGGGTGTTTTTTAATTTGCCACAGTAAAAAAGTCTGTGAACTGAAGAGATCACAAATCGGCGTTTCCTCAAAAAGCCACCTAGTAAAGGACTATGGCTGGGGAGATGGTAGAGGCATCTCCTGCTGGGTCTGAGGACCTGAGTGATTCCTGAACTCACAAGTTGGAAGACATCTGGCTCCCTCAAATTGTCCCCTGACTGACATTCCAGCAGCAGGTCACATGTTCCCCCACCTACACCCAAAACACACATTAAACTTTTAAAATGTTTTAGGCTTACAATTCCTATTTTTATATGTGAAAGCAACCATGAATATTACAACAAAAAGGGATGACTATATTCCAATCAAGTTTTATAGTCACAGGTTAGTAATAGTGACACACTCAGTGTACTGTCAACCTTGTTACTGACAGATATAACTGTACTTAAGCAAACCTAGAAGGTAGAGCCTGTCCTCAGGTTTCAAATTCATATAGCATGTAATTTGACCTTTCTGTATCAAAACAGAAAAGATATGGTAAAAATACTAGGCTAAAGAAATTTTTAGCTGTTAGTATGCAGTCCATAGGAAGCTAAAATACAGTATGTTTCATTACTAGTTACCAAAACAAACACAAACTCCAGACCTGTCCTTGATAGGCTTTTGTTCAAATTACTAAAAATTGTAGGCTAGATTTGTTTAAAAATGGAAGAATTGTTCCAAATGTTGATCCCTTTGAGTCCTAAACCAAAAAGCACGACACATTTAAAGAATGCCTCTTAAAAATACCTGGATGGAGAGGAGGCTCAATAGGTAATGTGCTCGCTATGCAAGCATAAGGGCTGGAGTTTGGTTTCCATTAACCACATAAAAGTTGGGCATGGTGTCACTAAGCTGTAACACCAGCAGCTGGATGAGGTGACAGGATCCTTGGGATTGGTTGGCTTCCTGGCCAGCCAGTCTAGCCAAAATGGAAAACTCCAGGTTCAAAGAGAGACTGCCACAAAAAATAAGGTGGAGTGAGAGGAAGACACCAAAGCCCCTACACCAGCACATAACATGGAGAAGGAGCACAACTACCTCCAAGACAGGAGCCAGGAAAAAAAATCACAAAAGTTCCCCTTGTTCTGTTTTTTGAAAGCGAACAGTAGCTATTGCTAGAATTAAATGTAAGTATCCATCATGGCCAGAATCTCACCCTTAAGATTCAAGTGTTCACATGAAAATACTGAGTTTATTGGACATTATAGAAGTGTTTGCATTTATCTAAAATAAGTGTATTAGAACTGAAGAGATGGCTCAGAAGTTGAGAGCATATACTGCTCTTGCAGAGGACCAAGGTTTAAATCCCAGCCCTTAAGTTTGCATACCTCATAACCCATCTTTAACTCCGGTTTCAGGGGATCTGATACCTTTCACCTCAGGGGGCGTGTGCATTCGTATGCACACGCATGCACACAGATAGGTACACACACATAATAAGACTCCTTATAATAAGCCCGTTATTTTCCCTATTTAAAAGATGGAAAAGTAGTATTGGTTTTAGAGGTATGAAGTTACTGTCTCCAGTTAATATGTAATTTTAAGGGAGTCAAAATATGAAGTTTAGACCTCAACTTTTTCAACCAGTGTCCCATGAAGAGCCATGAAGTTTGGTTGTGTATGCACAGACCACTGGTTGCCTCACTTAATCAACCTAGATGCCCCTCAACTGAAGAATGGATAAAGAAAATGTGGTACATTTACTCACTCATACATGGATATTTGACATAGAGCAAAGGATTACCAGCCTACAATCTAAACTCCAGAGAAACTAGGAAGTAAGGAGGACTGTAAGAGAGACATGGTCCCCCAGAGAAAGGGAAAAGGACAAGATCTTGGCAAATTGGGAGCACGGGGGCAGGGAGGGTGGTAGGGGAAAGAGAAGGGGAGAAAAGGAGGGGGAGGAGAACATGAGCGATCAGGAAGATTGAGTCAGGGTAAGAATAGAGGAGAGCAAGAAAAGAAATACCTTAATAGAGAAATCTGGTACTAGGGAAATGTCCAGAGATCCACAAGGATGATCTCCAACTAAGAATCTAAGCAATAGTGGAGAGGCTACCTTAAATGCCCTTCCCCTAAAATGAGATTCATCACACACAAACAAACACAAAAACACACAAACCAACACAAACACAACAACACAAAC